GTGCTTTAACTTTTCGGTATCAACTTATAAATTATTTTTAAATGGTTCTTTCCCATAATCATGAAGCATTAAGTGAAAAGAGAAACTATTTTTTAAATTGCCTTAGTCTATCTTTTCTGAGCTGATGCCTTTGAGATATGTTGGCTGCAAAATTGCCAACACCGCCCCTCAATCTTCTGTGGGGTTTGCAGTCCTAACCAATCAAAAGGATGCCAGCTTGGGAAGACTGGTGTACATTCAAAGACAAATGATCATTTTCAGTGAAAGTGTTAGGGCTGCGATTAATCTTAACATTTCTTTCTTTGTTTGTTTCAAATCTTTCACCTCTTTGTCACTTTCTCATGAGCCATTTAAGTGGGCTTTTGTGCATACCTCCTGAATATATCTTAAAGATCCCTTGCAAATGGCAAGCTCTCCTTGCTTGTAGAAACTTTAAGTCAGTAACAAGGTAAGGTTGCTCAATTTGAAGCAGCTAAAATGGTTGGAGATAGTTGAATTATGCGTTATCCTAATCTGTGTTTACAACGGAGTTGGCACGGCTGAGAAAATGAAAAAGCCCATTAGATTCAATGAAAAGTCTAATGATGCTAATATTGTGGACATAGTCATAGCTGCAGAAAGTTTGATTGTGCTAAAATGTGGCTCTTCCTTTGCCCTATCTATTCTTGTCCCCTAGATTAGTGACCCTGATGGTATATCTTATACCAAAGGCTCAGATCACTCCATTAACAGATTTCTGGAATCAGCCGATCACCAGAAAAATCTAACCCTAAAACCCTCCATCTATGAATTAGAATTGCCATGTCAATTGCCAGCTAATTTTGGCTTACCAGTTTCTTACCGTTCCTTTTTCATTTTGTTTTTCCCAAGGCAGGAAACCCTTGAAATATTTTCTACAACTGCCCATTCCAATCGCTTTCTTTCTTTTTGAAATGTACTGATAGTACTGTTTAAAAATCGAATGCGCATCATTCAAAACCATTCTAAAGGAAATGTGACGTTCTCATTTTTCTTGATTTCCTCTGCATTTGCTACCTCCTACTTCACGTACTACTCACACTGTTCCTTGTTAATGGGCTTATTAAAAAATACAAGTGCCTTACTTAGATGATACCTAAACACTTTTATAGAGAAGCTTTTTCTTCCTCTAACTCTGGGAATCTGTGAGAAGAGCATGGCTTTTTCCACCCTACTTGAAAAAAAACTTGAACTTAGAAATGTTATTTTTTTTTTCCACGAGAATTCAGTTGAAATAAATAAATGCACCATCATCTGTACGGTTCTTGGAAAAGTTGATGTATTGTTCCAACGTTCTTGCTATTGCAACGCAGTAATTTTAGAAAATTGGGTGGGGGGAGACATAGTAGACGGCATCCATGTAGAAAGAAACAATTCATGCTGCAAAAATATATCTGGGGAATCCAGTCAGAAGTATTACACAGCATAGCTAAGTAATACCCCTGGATCAGAATCAATTTATTTAGCTGTTTATTTATTTATTGAATTTGTATACCACCCACCTCACTAATGCAGCGGCTCTGTGTTAGTTATTTGATAAAAAGTTTTTAAGCTGCCGATAGCATGCACCCTCATGAGCTTTTGCCACCCTCATGAGCTTTTCTCAGAACACCCTGCCTTGTCATCACTACATATAACAAGTGGATAAAGGTTCACAGGCAAGGCATTGATGGACAGCAAAAGAACACAACCTATCAAGTCAGCCCTATACACCCAGGAGACAGAAAGTGGGTAGGGACTGACCAGCAGAATATTTAGTAGGATATTGGCATGAGTAGAGGCTGACAGTATGCTTGGCTGGGGCATCTGTGCTAGTGATAAGTTTATGCCACTCCGGGCAGTACAGACAGACAGTAGCCAACAGAAGCTGGAAAGATCCCACCCTCTACTGTATGATCAGCTCATTTAGTGTTAAAAGTACCACAAGCTACGCAAATAGCAAGGGGTTAGTTGGGAGAAAATACAGTGCACCACATCAGTTGTGGTTCAGTTTTGTGCTTTGGGTTGGGGATGAATGGAAGGTTGTATCAGGTGGTGTAGTGTTCTTCAAGAATGATTAGCCAGGCTTCCTTGACTCACAATTAGATATGTATGTAGATACGTGCCTGTAGCCTAAATTCTAGGCAGTTGAAAGCTGACTAGATGACACATGAACTGCCCTGATTATTTCAAAGAATCAGGTCTCTATCTGTGCTAGAAGGCTTCTGAAACACATGCTTTCCTCCTTCACACAAGCACTGCCATTGTTCTGTGGATTTGTGCAATATACCTGCAGGACCTGTAATCACGCCAAGCTGTACCAACAGGATGAATTAGATTCAAAGGTTTTCTTCAGACTCTGCTTGTAGCTGCTCAGAACTGATTCTGGAGTTATTTGTATCCTCAGCATTGAATTACAGCCATGCCCACAAGCAGCTCTTGATCCTTGAAGCATAAGATCCAATGCAGCAGCTCAAAAAACACAACTTACATAAACTTAGTATTCCACAGAATAGTGCCTGGGAAGCTAACTATTTTAATAATAAATTGTTAATTAAAAACTGAATAATAGCATATTGGATTTGGGTTGGAGGGAAGAGGTTGAAGTTTGCGTTCAGAAACGGGGAAGTGGGCTTTTGCACGTTTCCATCAATGAGCTTTCTCACAGCTCTATAGAATGTCAGCATTTCACAACAGCAATATAGTAACTTCAGTTGCTATTGGAGATTAATGCAGTCGACCCAGTTGACAGAAGCAATAGCATAGAGTCAAAAAGATGTGGCAACCATTTGGGAGTGATTCAAAGGCCTTGCATGAAGGTGACCTGAAATAAAACTTTTTTTCTTCCTGTCTGCACAAATTCTCACTATGAGTTCTCATCCCTGTGGGATTGCAGTAAATCAGTTCCTAAAACGGAGGCGGGGAAATCACATTTCTCAATGCACCAACTCTAGAAAAGTCTTAGAATGCTGAGATTATTTGTGAAATATACATGCTACCTGCCCTAGATTCTCAATATATTTAAAACATCCATTTTTCCAGCTTCTTTTCAAAACTAAATCAAGCTAAGGGCAAGAATGAAAATAGTTCTGTCTAGATTCCCAATCCCAGGAATTCATAATCCTGCATAGGAAGCACAAACGGACCAGATTGTTGGTTCTCAACATAACCATATATTTCCCATGCCACATTTCTATGGTGCCACAATCTTACATGATACTGTTTAAATTAACAAACAGTGCAAATGATAAAATACTTCTAGCTAAAATCAACTAGGAGGGGGTCACAGCGGTACATGAGGCTGAGAAGGCAACCATGAGCAAAAAGAGGGGGGGAAGATTCAGGATTTCTGGTCTAGATAGCAGCAGATCTTTAGATACGTAAGACAAACATGCCAGATTGAATTAAGACTCTGGAATCTTAACTAATATAAATTAGAGGAGAGGATCAAATCAAGAGGAGAATGTTCTATGTTGTGCAACTTTTTGAGAGCCATGATGGCGCAGTGGTTAGAATGCCAACACTGCCAACTGCCAGGAGTTCGATCCTGACCCGCTCAAGGTTGACTCAGCCTTCCATCCTTTTGAGGTCTGTAAAATGAGCACCCAGATAGTTGGGGGCAATATGCTGACTCTGTAAACCATTTGGAGAGGGCTGTAAAACACCGTGAAGCTGTATATAAGGCTAATGCTGTTAGCAGGCAGAGGAAAATCTTGTGGCAGCAGTTAGGCTAAATGAAGGTGTCTTACTGACCAAAACTTCAGGCTCCCTTACTACGTCTGGTGGCTAAAGTTCCTGCTTGTTTGTCTTTTCAACTGTGTGGAGACAGAATGTCAGTGGCTTAGCAAACATTGCATCTCTCAGAGAAATAGCAGACTAATGATCAAGGCCACAGAGAGATTGCATTAAAACTGGGACAATGTTGGTTTAACAAAATTCTTGAGCTTTCGCCTTTCAGGGCAACTAATCAGGTAAATGTCAAAGAGATTTTGCAGATCCAACCCCCAGTTATCTTTCATGCAATGAATGTAATAGATCCATTCAAAAAACTTTTCTCTGTACTGCATCAGAATTGCATTTTCCCCAGGACACAGTGTAGCGGTGTGACATACCCTTTTGTCAACATGCAGTCAAATATGCACATTCATCAAAAGGCCACAAAAAGGTTGGCGATATAAGTTATGGTGTATGTGCATAATTATATGCATACCATTATTTACTTTTTTATTATTTTTAAATAATTTTTATTAGACAAACAAAAACAAAACATTAAAAACATTGAACGTGGTACAATCCTCCTAACCCACATATTTGTCTTACATTGCTAAATCACATATAAAAATAGTGCATTTTTACATTCTATCTATATCTATCTATCTATCTATCTATCTATCTATCTATCTATCTATCTATCATCTATCTATCTATCTATCTATCTATCTATCTATCTATCTATCTATCTATCTAATCTCTCTCTCTCTCTCTCTCCCATACTTTGTAATAATCCGATTCATCCTTATTTTTTAATTCCTTGGTCAATTTGTCCATTTCTGCGCACATCCAGATTTTTATTATGTAATATTTATCATTTACTTTTGTAAGGAGTGCAAGAATATGTCAGAAGCATTCTAGGGGTGCGGGATATAGAAAAGGTTGAGAACCCTGTGCTAAGGAGGGTGTCAAACTGGCGGCCCTTGACTGAAGTTAGCCAAAGCAGCCCTTCGTAGGGAGAACTTTCTGGCTATTTTCCCCTTTGCAAAACCTTGCTTCTTTCGTCACATGCAGGGCGTTGCAAAACGTATTGCACTTGAGTACATACAGGGAAGTTGTTTCTGCACCTATTACATCGTGGCGGGGAGGAGGGGAAATAAGCAGGCAAGCAAACACACCCACCCACCCGCACCCACCCCCACCCCAGTTTCTTACTGGACAAACCTTATCACCCTTCGCAGCCAATCGGAACTGCTGAGGAGTTCCATCTGCCCAACCAGCTTGAAGTGGGGGAAGAGGGAAAGAAAATCAGGGGGAAGAGTTAACTAGTAGCGTTACGCGAAAGGTATAAAAAGTTCCCGCGTGGCAAAACTCGTCCTGTTTGGCTGAAGACCCCCTCATCCATTCACAAGAGCTTCTGGGAGAGGCGGTGAAGATTCACCGAAACGGTACGTGCAAATTATATGTGCCAAAGGGGTTCATGAGGGTTCTTGGGAAACTAGAGAAGAGAGAAAGCTTTTTTTGTTGGTGGTAAGTGTGAAAAAAACAAACAAAAGTCTGGATCCTGGAGATGCTCCTTCTCAACTTTAAAACAAGGGTCTGCAAACGTGTCAAGTTTAAGACTTGTGGGCTTCATCTCCCAGAATTCCTGAGCTAACATGACTGGAGGAGGATTCTGGGAGTTGAAATCCACAAGTCTTAAAGTTGCCAAGTTTGAAGACCCCCCTGGCTTAAAACGTCGCTTTCTTCAACTCTTACTTGAAGGACAGCTGAGCTCCCTATAGACTTTGCCCATCGATCGGGAAAGGTGCGAGTCGGTTCAGCAATGGCTCAGCGCATTTCTACCTAAATTGCGTTCAAGTTGACGAGGTCTTCAACCCCAAGAGTTGTGTAATTGTGTGCCTGCAATTTGTTACACAATTGCTTACAGAGGCTTTTTTGTCCTTCCTATTGAAAAAGCAAGTCGCGGAATTGCTCTTTTAGAACCCATCTCACCTTTCTGCGTTGGCTGAAAGGATTTCTCAACTCCGATGTACAAGCTCCTTTCTCTTCCTAAATCTTCACTCGAGGGATTTCACCTGCTCTTAAAGCCGCTAATGAGATGACTCCCTATCCAGAATAAGGATACAGTCCCGGATCCCTCAATATAGCTAACAAGATTGAGTGTCCCCACCAATTATACAAGAAGTTAGTCCTATTAAAAGCAGCCTAGAGATCTTTGCCACGTCGACATTGGTATCGCCAAGTAAAAATGAGCAAAATATAAGAGAGAAGAATGGGTTGAGGAGGTCTTATGGAGGGGGGGCAGAGGGCTGAGATGTAGTTAAAAATTCTCTTTGGGGGCTTTTACCACCCTAAATTGGAGGGACCGATCTGTGGCTCTCCAGATATTGCTGAAGTAGAATTCCCAGCAACTCCACTATTAACCATGGAGCCACAGGACTGGATGGACTGGTCCCTCATTGTAATGATAAGCAGTCTTCCTGAGATGATGACACACTTGGAATTTGGATTATTTATATATTTATTGGATGTATAGAATCTTGTGAGAACTCTTCCACATACCATGAGAGAGGATGTCTATAATATTAGAGCAAAGTGGTTGCTCTAAGCCAGGGGTCTTCAAATTTGACAGCTTTAAGACTTGTGGACTTCAACTCCCAGAATTCCTCCTCCAGTCACGTTAGCTCGGGAATTCTGGGAGTTGAAGTCCACAACTCTTAAACTTGCCAAGTTTGCAGACCCTTGCTCTAAGCAATGACAGGCAGTCCTCAAAAAGTCATTTACCCAAAGGCGAACTGGTGGAGTTGTTCCTATTCCCCAGTAAGCATACATTTAAATCTCTCAGTGAATAATATGTTACCCTTCAGGTATTGTTGGACTGCGGCTGCCATCAGTCTTTCCTATGACCGTGCTATCTTGGACTTATGAGAATTAGAGTTTGACAGCATTCAGGGAGCCACGTGTTGCCCAACTGTGCTCCAAGCAAGGTGGTTGTAGAGTAGGTTTGAAAGAATGCCTAAGATGTAGCTCAATGTTCATCCAAGATTTCAGGCAAACATTCATTAAGACCACGCCTCGTTAAGTCAAGGACTGCAAAATCTATTGGGAAAGCTGATTTACTATTGGATAAGAAAATCCTATTATCTTATGTACACAAAGAAGGTTCTTAGTTCTTACTGTGTGCCAAAACCAGAATAGGGCCCATGTGTGTTTTGATGTGCCAGGAAGACAGTAGAAAGTCATTCAAAGAGTCATCTTTGGCTGGAATAGGAACATAGCTAGGCTTCCCATGGCTTTATCAGGACTACTTTTCTCCCAATAGTGTTCATCAGGGACATGGACTTTCAAAGATTTTTGGAGATCTGGAGGAGAATGTTTGTTCAACCCCTCCAGTTTTCCTCATTGCTGGTATGATGACATCTTTTTCTCTACTACTTCTAAGACCCATGGTGGTTAGAATGCAGCACTGCAGGTTAATTCTGCTGACTGCCAGCAGTTCAATCTTGTCCAGTTCAAGGTTGACTCAGCCTTATATCCTTCCAAGGTTGGTAAAATGAGGACCCAGATTCGCTTAGAGAGAGCTGTAAAGCACTATGAAGTGACATACTGTATAAGTTTTATTGCTATTGCTATTTATTATACAAATACAGAGAAATTTTAATAGATGGGAAGAAAGTATTGCTACACTTGTTATCTTCAAATACCAACCCACACTTTGGAAGAGGGTTTGGCAGTTATTCTTCAACGAAGAGCCTGAAGAGAGTTCAAAGATAAACCAATCTTTTCTATTAAAAACAGCCCTCTGCGTCTGTCCACACCAAGTTTCAAAGCAGTCCACATCTTCTATTATCTTCTTTAATTCATTACTGTAGTTGACTGCTTTCGCTGAGGAAGATTGAAATGACTGGTGGCAGAAAGGGCATCTTTTCTTTCTATCACTGTTTTAAATCATGTGATGTTTCTCTACATCAACTGACTTTAAAAAAAATCTAAGTACTAGGTAGGAATGCAGAATACATTTTGCTTATTTTTTAGCGTTCATTACTTAATGCAGTTGGTATTTTGAAAAACTTCATACGGAATGTAGTTCAGATTTAGATAACATCTCTTTTCTTAAGTATCCAAATTATATTTGGTGCCCATGGCTTGTTCTATTTCTAAGTGTCATCAGCTTTGCTTTGGGGTTTTTTTTTCTAATTTTTTAAAATTATTTTTAGAGGTCCTGGCAATAAGGACATTGTTTAGGATCTGCTAATATCCCAAACAAAGCTGTAGAAGTTTCTGAGACTCTTTTCCACTTTAAATATTTTGAAGTCATTGCTCTCTTAAGTCAAAATTGTGATAGCATTAGAAGGACAGATGAATGCATACATGCAACCTACAAAAACCTCTTTCTCTAGTACTGAATCTCCTGGTTGCAACGTTTATGCAAGTGGCTATGGAAAAAACTGTGGTTCATTTGTGACTGAGCTGCATGGAAGCTGTGGTTCAAATGATAAATAGTATAGATGAATATAGGACTGGAATGTTGGATTTCAAGACGCATTAATTCTTTGATTCATTTATTGTCTGGGAAAGTCTTGTGGAAAATGCTGGCAATAATTGGATACTTATCTCTGTGATAGTACTAAAGAGCCCCTGGAAGAATAAAATTCACTAATGATAGGCGGCAAGAACTCCTTGGGTTCCTGATACCATAGGACTTTTTTTGGTGAAAAAAGAATGCGTGCATATCATAGATAGTTCCCCCCACCCTTCCAGTCAAAGCAATATTGGTCAGTTCTATACAAGCAGAGAGGCAGAAACTTCTGTTTTGCATATATTCTTTTCCATTATGCAATGGAAATCCTTCCTCTCCCATGCGCATAAATAACTAAATAAAAATTTTGAGAGCTCATAGTATTACTAATCAAAAGACGTTACGGAAGCATTCAATCCTTTCCAAATACTGTGTGTATTATTGGGTCCTGTATTGTGCTAAGGCAAAGAGGCATACATTGGTAAGATCACCCAGAAGAGTTGCAGCTAGTATTTGGACACTCATATACACCCATCTCCATTGCATTCCATGAGCAAAGCGGAGAAATGGGCAGTACATCACATCTGGAAGCTGTGAACGGACAGAAGGCTCCTTTTATTGGACTGAATATCATGCTTGAAATAGTGAGTCCATTAAAATCAATGGAGCAGGTTATGATCACTAACACTTGGAAGTTGCCTCTTGACCATAGTCCTCTATACGATTCTCTTCCACCCAATCTCGTCTTGAAATTTTAGAGCTTTCTGCTTAACGGAATTATTTGCAAAAAGCAACTCTCATCTTTTCATTCTTGCAGGTCTGCAAAAATCTACAAATGCATCTAGGGTTTATTTTAATGTTTAGCTTCTCTCTCTCTCTCTCTCTCTCTCTCTCTCTCTGGGAACCTATTTATGGCATTTGCATGCTTTCGAACAGCTAGGAGGGCAAGAGTTGGCCAAGGACAGGAGCTCACCCTGTCACATGGCACTTGGGTCTCGAACCCACACGTTCAAATCGGTGTTGACTCCTAGCAACTGCCTGGACTTGTCCCTGCAGTTTTCCTGTCAAGATTTTTCAGAAGTGGTTTGCCATTGCTTCCTTCCTAGAGCTAAGACTGTATGACTAGCTCAAGGTCACTGAGCTGGCTTTGTGCCTCAGGTGGGCCAAGAACTCACAGTTGCCCAGTTCCTAGCCAGATGTCTTAACTACCCTGCTGAAGTGTCTCTCACTTAATTGCACTATAGAACAGGGGTCTCCAACCTTGGCAGCGTTAAGACTTGTGGACTTCAATTCCTAGAATTCCTCAGCCAGCTTTACTTTGAGCTTTGCTGGCTGAGGAATTCTGGGAGTTGAAGTCCACAAGTCTTAAAGTTGCCAAGGTTGGAGACCCCTGCTGTAGAAGATTTATTTATTTATTAAATTTGTATTTTGTCTTTCATCCAAGACCTCAGTGAGCCACCATAAATAACACTACTCTCTCCTGTTTTTCACCATCATATCAATCATATAATTAAAGAAGTACTTTATAAACTCACTGTAGATAAATTCTGCTAATCCAAAAAAATTTTTAACCAATATAGCGAATCACTATATTGTTAAATCTGCTTAGACTGCTACTAAAGTCCGTATCTTTTAGGTCCAGCAAGTGAAAAGAGCGATCTTTCTAATGCGCATAATGGCTGTACTCAGTGGTTAATTATTCTCCACACAACCAGGGTTTAGACTTAGCAAAACTAAACATTAGCTGTCTATTACCTAGGAACAAAAGTTGCACACACGTCCTAAAAGACTCACAAGAGACTTTGCAAATTGCACATCTATCTCCCCTCCCCCCCAAAATACACACACACCAGTCCACACTGCAGCAACCCTAGCTGGAACCTGCTAACCCTCTTCTGACCTCAGTTCTTGCACTTTGGTCTGTCATCTGTTGTAACATTAACAGAAGGCAACCTTTGCACTATTTCTAATGGGGAATTCCCCCCCCCTCCTCTATCTTCTTCTATAGTTCTTTAAAAAAAAAAAAAAAGGCTTACACTCTAGCAAGGTTGACCGTTCTTGCCCAGATCCTGTTGTCTGGCTGCCAGGTACTTGATTAGACAAACAGTCTTCTTTACTTTGGATGCCCCTGATCTATCTTAAATGCTGCCACACTTTTATAGTGCTGCAACACCCTTTTCTCATTGTGAAACTTTTAGGCTTGGAAAATACAATTTATTTGTGTGACAAGTGGGTTTCATTCAATATCTAGCTACGTCCATCTCAATTGCTAGCCTTCAAAGCTTTGGGATGGGCAGGAGGGGTGGGAGATGGTGGACAATTTTCCCTAGAAGCCAAAGTCTGTTATTTGACTATGACTTGTACTTTTCAAAATAATAGAAGCGCACGCTCACAGAACCGGTTGTTAAACCGGTTGCAACCTCCCACTGATTTGCTCTCTGCTTCTAGCAATCTGCCTGCCCTCACCCATATTGCTTCTTCTCATCATATGGATAATTTGTTTCTTCAATGAGGTATTTTTAGGCTGCTTTTAAGAGCCTTACCTTCCCAAGGCAACTTCTAGACTGGCTTCCTCAAACAAGTTTGGATGAGGTTCATGACCATACAGGGAAGGGAAAATATCACACAGGGCTTTGTTTTCACCACCCTGAATTTTTTTCCCTTGCTGTGGATGTCCCCAACAGCTTCCAAGGTAAAGCACACAAAATAGTTAATTGAAAGTGGTGATTAAAATAACCAAAAACATATTACACCTGAAATAAAAAGCAGAAGGAAATAGAAGAGGAAAGCTCAGCATTCTGAGTCTACTTGCTTTTAGCTGGCATTTTTGTTTTAAAGGCAACATTACGATAGAAATAGCAAGAAAAACAGCATTATCCAGATTCCAGTCCAACTTAAGGCAAGTTTCTGATTCGCATGTGTACATACTCAACACACGTGTGCACATACATCTTTTTTTTAAAAAATAGATTGAATGCAGGAATAATGAAAAGCACCTTTACTAACATCAAAAGACCTAAGAGATTGCCTATGGAGTTGCACATGATTTTATAACAGAAACCCTCCAAAAATATTGTCTCAATGGGCTGATTAACACATTCTTTTTTATTTTAGAGAATGTGCATCTCTTTAAACAATACTGGAAAGAAGCAGTGTCTTAGAAGTACAAAAATATATATTTCTCTTACTACAGTAGAACTTGGGTCTTGAGACATTTCAAAATTGGAGAAAGGCACAATCAGATCTTGCCTGGCACTCCCTTGGTGTGTTTTTCCACAGCTCCGATCCAAGGGTGGGATTCAAATTTTTTTACTACCAGTTCTGTGGCTGTGGCTTGGTGGGCGTGGTGTGGCTTGGTGGCATGGCAGGGGAAGGATACTATAAAATCCCCATTCCCTCCCCACTCCACTAACCTGCTTTCCAGCTCCGTTCTCCTGTATAAGGCAACAAAAGAAGACCCAGCCGATCAGCTGGGACTCCAGAGGCAGAGAATAGATGGGGGCAGGGCCAGTCAGAGCTGGTATTTGCCGTTTCTCCAAACTACTCAAAATTTCCACTTCTGGTTCTCCAGAAATGGTCAGAACCTGCTGAATACCACTTCTGCTCCATCCTTTCCAATCAGCTATTGGCAAAAGAGGAGCCTAATGCAACACATCAAGGCTTTGAACATCTGTTCTGATTATTTGCTTTCCTTTCTAAAATGTCTACTGTTCCCAGGATAGAGATAAATAAAACAGTCACTTTTTAAGAGTACTGCTGTACACATGATCACTCAGTCTCCCTTATACTTTGACTGGACTTAACACTTGCGTTGCCCATAATTTTAGCTTTGCTCCGACTGTGGCACCCATGGTATAAAAAATGCAATTTTGGCATCTCTGGTCAAAAGAGCAATATGGTATGTATGCTATATACACCATCCAGATGTGGTTCATTAAAATACAGATAGTCCTCGACTTACAATTATTTGTTTAGTAACTATTCGAAGTTACGATACTGAAAAAAGTGACTTATGACCATTTTTCACAAGACTGTTGCAGCATTTACACAGTCATGTGATCAAAATTCAGATATTCGGCAACTGGCATAGATTTGTGACAATTGCAGTGTCCCGGAGTCATGTGATCACCTTTGGCGACCTTCTGACAAGCAGAGTCAACGGGGAAAGCCAGATTCACTTAACAAAGACATGTTACTAACTTAACAACTGCAGTGATTCACTTAACAACTGTGCTAAGAAAAGGTCGTAAAATGAGGCAAAACTCACTTAAACTCACTATCTTGCTTACCAATGGAAGTTTTGGTCTCAGATGGCCGTAAGTCGAGGACCACCTCTGCATGACACTTAGAGCCCATTGTATCATTTTATTAAGCCAGTTGTTAATTAGATTGGAATTATAGAAAGGCAAAATATCTTAGGCATTAATCTTAGCAAACACAGAAAATAATTGCTCAGTTTGTTGTTCTTATTACCCAGGTTCTAATAAACAGGAAAGGCTGAAAATGTGGGGTTTCCCTCATTATGTTTACCTTTCTTTTCTAAATAAGGAATTGGTTTATTTGTAGGTATTTTATTAGAAGAAAATAATCTTATAATCTCCCCGCTTTCCAGCCTTAAAATTAACAGGGTGCCACGTATTACTTACATTAGAGATGGTCAGAAGGAAGACCAATTTCTAGAGATGTCAATGCTTGAAGAATGTAGGACACTGTAGATATTGTTCCAAATTCTGAAGGTCCTGTGTGCGTTAAGCAATAATGCACATTGAGAACATGTCCACAGGAGGATTCTAAGCAGCTCCAGACATCTGTTTTTCCCATGATGTCAGCAGGGCTGGAAAATTAAGCTGGTTTATCTCCAGCTCAGCTGTGGCTTAGACGAGAGTGCTGTGGGACTCGTGTTATTCTTGCCTTCTTGTGTGGAGATGTTGCTGTTCCACTTCTCTTTGAGCGGGAACTCTTGCTTCATTCCTTCACCTTTTTTTGGGGGGGGGGGGGTGTTGTTGTTGTTGTTGTTGTTGTTTTTTGGGGGGGGAGACTGTACAGGGAATCCTCGACTTATGACCGTTCATTCAGGACTGTACAGGGAATCCTTAACTTATGACCATCAGGGACCTTTCAAAATTACAATGGCTCTGAACAAAGGGATTTACCACCTGTTCCTAAAGCTGTGGATGCTGCAGTACCCATCCAATGACTTATCCACCAGCCCTTATGACAGACCTCAGGGATGCTCCCACCTGCATCCTACCCCGCTGGGTCCCTTGGGCCTACCTTCCACCTAGCTGGGTCCCCACACAGGTCTTGGGCTTGCTTTCTGCCCCTCTGGGTCTCACAGTTTTAGTTCCATTCAGGAATAAGAATGGAAAATTTGGTTTCAGTTGGTCCAACTACATATGTCCATTTGGCAGGGTGCCAGGGTTGAGTTTGAGACTGTTCCTCACTATCCAGACCTTCACAGTCTCCAAACACTGAGTTAAGACCTTGATCTTAGTTAGCCTTAGCTTAGTTAGCCTAAACTTAGATATATCATCAGCTTAGTGGTCATACCTAACCTCAAAACGACAGATCACCTCACACAGATATTAAATAAGAGAGGGGAGAGTGCCAAGTTCTACAGCACCCTGTATATCAAGGAACTCAGGTTCATAATCTCCTCCCACTAAGACTGACTGGGACCAATTATAAAGAAAGAGGAAAATCACCACAATAGCAATAGTACTGAGACTTATATACCACTTCACAGTGCTTTACAGCTCTGTCTAAGCGGTTTACAGAGTCAGCCTATTGCCCCCAACAATCTGAGTCCTCATTTTACCCACCTCGGAAGGATGGAAGGCTGAGTCATCAACCTTGAGTCTGGTGGGATTTGAACTGCCAAATTGAAGGCAGCTGATAGTCAGCAGAGGTGGCCTGCAGTACAGCACTCTAACCACTGTGCCATCGAGGCACAATACAGTGCCTCCTATTCTTCATCCTCAGAAAGTGGTCCAGAAATACACTGTGGTCAATTGTATTGAAAACAGCCAAGACATCAAGAACTGGGATAATCCCGGTTCCTCTAGAGATCACCACAAATGTATCTGATGGCATCTCTGTACCAGGTTCCTGTCTGAATCCCAACCAAAATGAATCCCAGGCCCTTTGAAGCTGAAGACATTTTTAAAATCCACTATTTATTGTTTTTTGGGTGTGTTGTTTTACTGATATATAATGGCTGAAAACCTCAATGTGGGTGAGAATGTGTCCTCTTCCTGTTACATTTAAATACACAAATTTCTGATTCCAGGGGTGTCAAACTCAAGGCCTGGGGGGCAAATCCGGCCTAGAGGGTGCTTAGATCTGGCCCGTGGGGCCTTCTTGGAAATAGCAAAGGACCATCCCACAGTGCCTTTGCCAGCAAAAACGGAGCTTGTGAGGGTGGCCGGAAGCCGTCCCAGCCAAAAATGGAGCTTGAGAGCCCGTTTTCGCTGGCAAAGCGCTCAGGCCACCACAGGCGCCCCCCAACACAAGTGATGTTATGCTGGCCACGCCCACCCTAGCCGCGCCCACCCCAGCCCCCAAGGTCAAACACAACCCTGATGCGGCCCTCAATGAAATCGAGTTTGACACCCCTGCCTTATGCCATTATAATGATGCTGCTGTTGCGAAAATAAATTTTTAAAAAATCATAGGATTATACAGATATCCAAATAAATTTATCTTAAAACTTTGGAATGGTCTTTTCTTCCAGCCACCATGACCCACCAGTTTCCAAGCCTCTCTCCGGAGCAGAAAAAGGCACTCTCTGACACAGCTCAGCGGATTGTAGCTACTGGCAAAGGGATCCTAGCTGCAGATGAATCTGTTGGTAAGTGTCATCAAACAATTATTTTTCTTCTTTTCTATTGAGGCTGAAAGGTTAGATTCATTCATTTCAGTAGAGAATGATTCAACTATAAGGTACACTGTTGATAAATGATGAATGGAGCTCGTTTTCAGAGTTGCCTTAGACCAGAAGGTCTCCAAACTTGGCAACTTTCAGACTTTTGAACTTCAACTCCCAAAATTCTCCAGACAGCATGGCTGACTGAGGAATTCTGGGAGTTGAAATCCATAAGTATGAAAGTTGCCAAGTTTGAGGACCCCCTGCCTTAAACAAGATAAGGGAAGACATTCAGAAATGAATTTCACATTATTTTCTAATCTCCCTCTGTTTTTCCTAGTCTGCACACTTTTAGACTGCAGGCAAGGGATAGAAAATGTGAATTTTCCAATCAAAAATTGCTAGTATAATCTCAATTTCCCCTAATCCTATAGGATGGAAAAGATTAGCCAATTTTCTATAAATATTGAGAATATTTTCACGTGATGTGGAATGTGAAGTTTAAATTCCATGCCTGTAATCTGAAGGAATGTAATCCACATAGGTGATACCACCAGCTATATTTTAGATGATGGCACTTTACAAATCATTGCATGTTATTCATGAAAGTACACCCTACCATCTTCTTTTGCGGTGCTTTTAAAACTTGTTATAAATAAAAGGACAGATTATAGATAAAGGTCACCAACACAAAAATTTCCTGACTTTTAGTGGTTTCCCTCTCCATAGGGACAATGGGTAACAGGTTGCAACGCATCAAGGTGGAGAATACGGAAGAAAATCGCCGTCAGTTCCGTGATATTCTCTTCTCTTCCGACCCATCCATCAGCCAACAGATTGGGGGAGTTATTTTCTTCCACGAGACACTCTATCAGAAGGACAACACTGGAAAACTCTTCCCAGCTGTCATTAAGGACAAAGGCATAGTGGTTGGAATCAAGGTAAATAGTTTCAAAATCCTTTCCTAGATGTCTCAAATGTGCTTTTTTCAAAAGGCAACTGGACTGTTTTTTTCCTTGAGGAAGAAAACATTTGGTTCTCATCCAAGAAGCTGCATCAGTTCTGATGAAGGGGGGATGAAAGGATCAGAACTGATCCCCAGCATCAGAACTGATGAAGCTTCTTGGATGAGAAGCAAAACATTTTCTTTTTCTTCTTCTTCATGGGAAAAAATGGTCCAGTTGCTTTTTGAGACAACAATGACCTGGATGACTGAGATTCTCCACAGACACCCTTTCCTAAAGTTAGTTGCTGCAGAAAAGTAGAAGTATCCTGCTTTTATCTGCACTTCTATTATAGTATGGATTGCAGGCCATGCAAAAACAAAGATAGTATAAAGTAAAGAAGGAAGCTGTGATTTGGTTGAGTTACTCAGAGTTTACGTGTAGTAAAACATCAGGGTGAAGTTGATCCCATAAATCCAAGATATATTGGTAGTGCCCATGTTTAAATGATCTGTGTGCTTTACTACATTTTGTGACACATGTGTATTACATTGTGCGTTAATTATCCACAGCTGGATAAAGGCACAGCTCCACTGGCAGGAACTAACAATGAAACCAGCATTCAAGGTAAGCTTTCTTTTACGTCATAGAATCTTCAGAAGCATTAGCTAGAATGTTAGATAAAAGGGTTGAAGAACAAGGAAACGGACACAGTGCATCTGAGTGGAAACACTTCTATAAACAATAAAAGCAAGAACAAATTAACATTGGGAGGAATTGAAGCCTGAATTTGAGAGGCAGGGTTGCGTTTAGTACTGAAAACTCAAGAAATGATGAATCCAAAAAACAGAATTTATGTTCAAATAGGAACACAATTACATGCTTAAGGTAGCAAAAGTAATTATTGTTACGTGCCGCAGAGGCAGTGCTTAAAAAGATTTATGAAAAAACAAGGAATTCTTGTCTAAAACTTCCTCAAGACTACAAAACAATTCAATCTGTCTATCTGGCATTCCAAGCTTACAGAAGGCAGTAGTTTTATTTACATGGCATTCTTATCCATGGTTAACTCAAGAATTTTTCAATGAGACCAATATACAGTATTAGATTTTCAGGACAACTGGAGCCATAAGCTAACTTCAAGGATTGAGTTTGCCACATTGGAATAACCCAATTGCTAAAATATTTCTACATTTGCCTTCAGGTCTGGATGGGCTTGCTGAGCGCTGTGCCCAATATAAGAAAGATGGAGCAGATTTTGGCAAGTGGCGTGCTGTGCTGAAAATTACACAGACAACTCCTTCCACCCTTGCCATCCAGGAGAACGCTAACACATTGGCACGCTATGCTAGCATTTGCCAACAGGTATAATTAGGTGTCCACAAATATTTGGGGGCTTGGGGCAGTTTGTCCAGCGGTTTGATAATGAGTATGATTGTGAATATTCCTAGTTTTAAGCTGGCTAAACTCAAGTACAGCCTATCTGGATTTCAATTTAATCATCTCTCTCTGTTTAAACACCAGCATGGCTTAGTTCCTATTGTGGAACCTGAAATCTTACCTGATGGAGACCATGACCTGCAGCGATGTCAGTATGTGACTGAAAAGGTAAAGAGTTGTTGCTATTATTATTATTATTATTATTATTATTATTATTATTATTATTATTATTATTATTATTATTATTATTATTTCGCACAATCAGCCAGATAGATGTTCAGACTGGGTTTGGCATTTTAGTTTACCTATAGAGTCCTTGCCAAGGACCTAGGATAGGCAAATCTGGATGTTTGATAGTGTTACAGATATTGTCGCAATATGGAAGCTGTTCCAAGTAAATCCACCTTCTACAATTGACTTCATCATCATCATCATCAATGTGGTCCACTTTTTGGTCTAAAATTAAATTCCTATGAGTGCAATGGTCTCATCCCCTGATTATCAGAGTTTAATCACTTAGAATGTATTTCTACTCTTCAAGGACTTTAAGTCCAAACTGTTTTGTGTCTCTCTTAATATTCATTATACTCCTAAGTTATATCATTTTTTTAAAAAAAGGAGAACCATTTAACCTCAGCCATTATGGGTACAATTAGAGGTTTGTGCAGGCTTGTACTTTTATTAGAAATAAACAGGCAAAAATACACACCAACCATGAACATATATGCCAGTTTTGAAATCTTGGGCTAATGCCTTTTGAAGTGAAATTAGTAAAGACGAAGATTTGTTTTCTCCATTTTTTTTAAATATAAGGCAAGCATATGTTACTGAGCCACACCTTCTAACATTTCTTATCCTGGACCATAATGGAGGTTAAAGGAACTTACATACTTGACATCTAGAATAGTGGTCCCCAACTTTTGTGGCTTGGCGGCCGCCAGGGGGGAGAGGGGAACTGGGCCGTGTGAACAGCTGGCCAGCACACACATGCACACATAGCTCGACTGCAAGTGGAACTGTGCACACATGATGTGCACGTTGGCCCACTGATCATGTGACCTGGTTCTGAATAGCCACAGCCTGGTAGTGGGCCATGGGTTGGGGACCTCTGATTTAGAGGACCTGGTTAGATGTAAGCAAAGTGTAATCAATGATAATGTATTGCACTCCTATCATTTTCAGTCAGTGTGATTGTTAATGAATGACAAAGAATAGTCTGACACTGAAGAAAAGTACCGGACTGAGGAAGAACAGCCATCTTCAATAGCCGTGGGAGACACTGAAGGAAACTTATTGGCAAGATTGTTGCCAAACCATCTTGTCCTGAGGATAAAGGCACACTTACCTGAGAGTTAGCACAGTAAAAGAAGTGAACATATTATAAACACTTCCACCATCACTTTTCTTTGTATCTCAGGTGCTGGGTGCTGTTTATAAGGCCTTGAATGACCACCATGTTTATTTGGAAGGGACACTGCTAAAGCCCAACATGGTGACAGCTGGACAAGCTTGTCCCAAAAAATATACCCCACAAGATGTGGCCATGGCAACAGTTACAGCTCTCCTTCGGACAGTCCCAGCAGCTGTTCCAGGTAATTCTTCAGGCCCTGTTATTTGAGCAATTGAAATCTCCTTGGTTATTATCTCATTTCCGCTTTCCCTACTAATTAAGGCTGTTTTAAAACTAATTTGAACACCTTGAATCAATATTCCTTGGTTTTTGAAGGGAAAAATGTGTTTTCATATGAATGTTCTATCCACGGCAAGAATTGATTTTAGGCACACAAAATCTTTTTGCACTCACACTTGCCAATTGTGCACCTATCTTCAGCCTGCTCAGTTTGTATAGTGGAAGATTGGAAAACTCTAGTGCCTTATTCTACAAGTTTCTGGGTCTTCACATCTTAGTTTCATCTCATGCTTTCAGAGAGTGACTTGGTAGCTCCTGCCGTCACTCCTATCTTCCATAGTACCTCATTGGAGTTCACTCCCTTCCTTAGATATGTGAGATAGTCCAGTTTCATTTTAACTTAATTTTTAAAGCACTAAATGGCTTAGAATTAGGTTATTTGAAAGAATCCCTACAAAATGTGGCCTATTGGGGCAATAAAGACCATCTTAGGTTACTTATCTTAGGTTACTCATTCAGGTCAACGTGTGGTTTTTACTGGGGTAGCCCCATCTTTATTGCAACTTCTCAGTAGAAGGGTTCCTGTCTTCATTTGTGATTACTTTTTTAATAAGCCTGAAAATTTCAGTCCACATTTAAAATGATTGTAAGATGCAGCTCCAAAATTTGACATCTCGCTGGGTTTGCTTTTATTATGTTTAAATGTGGCCTCTGTTGAAATGGAATGTTTACAGTATAGTGTAGCTTGAATTAGCTGTCTTTTAATATTTTTTAATTCTCTGAATTCTTGAAAAATAAGAAATTCTTGAAAAATATGAAACGTAAACTACCTTGAGAAACTTTTTACCTTGAAAGGGGAATTTTAAAAAAATGTTTTGATAAGAAACATTGGAGGCACATAAACAGAAAGTAAAGAAGCCCTTGAGTGAAGTCCAACCTCACATATTTTTCATGACAACACAGGTAGTCCCTGACTTATGACCACAATTGAGACCAAAATTTCTGTTGCTAAGCGAGACAGTTAAATGAGTTTTGCCCCACTTTATGATCTTTCTCGCCCCAGTTGTTAAGTGAATCACTACAGTTGTAAAATTAGTAGCACGGTTGTTAAGTGAGTCTGGCTTCCCCATTGATTTTGCTTGTCAGAAGGTCTCAAAAGGTGATCACGTGACCTCAGGACACTGCAACCGTCATAAATACAAGCCAGTTGCCAAGTGTCCAAATTTTGATCACATGACTACAGGGTTGCTGTAATTGTCTATGTGCGAAAAATGGTCATAAGTCACTTTTTTCAGTGCCGATGTAACTTTGAATGGTCACTAAACGAATTGTTGTAAATCAAGGACTACCTGTAATATGGAACTAGCTGGCCATCATTTCCTTCTGAGATTTTGGATTTATTAGTCTAATCATATAAAAAGTCATGATTAATCCAGCACAGTTACTTTATCATTTACGAATTTGAGCCATCAGTATCTTCTAATCTGATTCAAACTGCAGGAATTTGCTTCCTTTCTGGGGGCCAAAGTGAAGAGGAGGCCTCCATTAACCTCAATGCTATCAATCTGTGCCCACTGCCCAAACCCTGGAAGCTGACTTTCTCATATGGACGAGCTCTACAGGCATCAGCACTGGCTGCCTGGTCTGGCAAGCCTGAGAATAAGAAGGCTTCCCAAGAGGCCTTCATGAAACGGGCAAAGGTAAGACAGTACCTTAAAAGAACCAGAATCTCTGAGGTGCCAAATCTAAACAACATCATCTGTATATGTTTCAGGAGGAGACGGGACGGCCCATAGGTCAGAGGTTCTCAGACTGGTCTTGTGGTGCAAGAGTCATAACCTCACCCTGAACATCAAAAAGACCAAAGAATTGATTATAGACTTTAGACGATGCAAAGCACTATATATCAATGGAGATTATGTGGAAAGAGTTCATAGTTTTAAATTTCTAGGAACTCATATTTCCGACAACCTTACTATGGCCACTGCAATGAAGGCCCAATAGCGCCTGCACTTTCTGAGGCTGCTGAAAAAGAGTGGTCTGGGTGAGAAGTGGCTGGTTACTTTTTACCGTTCTACCGTCGAGAGTATTTCGGCATACAGTGTAACAGTGTGGTATGCTGGACACTCTGTAGTGGATAAGATGATGCTCCAGAGAGTTATAAACACACCACAAAAAACCATCGGTTGCTCTCTTTCTTCTTTGGAAGAGATTGCGAAGACCAGACTCCTCTCTAGAGCACTAAAAATCTCCACAGACTGTTCTTATCCTGGTCATTCATATTTCGAACTGTTACCATCAGGGAGACGTTATAGGTGTCTTAAAATGAGGACTAATAGACTGAGGAACAGTTTCTTTTCCAAGGCAATAATTGTCTTGAATCAAACAGTGCATTTGTGATTTAGTCCTATGTATATAGTGGCATTTTTAAACTATTTAACTTACTAAATGTTTTAGATAGGTCTTAGATTAGGTTTTTAATTATTATTATTATTTTAATTATTTCAATTTTTAAATACTCTGTAGTGTGATTGTGATGTGGTGTTTGGGGCACTGTGCTGGAGTAGCTTTCAAATTTCATTGTATTCATGGAATGCAATGACAATAAAGGTATTCTATTCTAAAAAAAAACCCTGAAATATTATTGCTTTCAGCCAAGCTATTTCTAGCATTTTTTAGCACTAATAGAACAGGAATGGATGCATCTTCCCTCAAATTTCATTTCTTTTAAATCAGGGGTCCTCAACCACCGGGCCGCGGACCGGTCCCGGTCCGTGGAGCACTCTGTACCAGGCCGCAAAGAATTTTTTTTTAAAAAAAATGGCGGCTTTCTTCGCCTTCGGTGAATGCTGCTGGGATCGGAGATCAAGGACACAAATGAAAGAAGGGGAGGGAGGAAGCAACCGAAGCCTGTCCTGCTCTCCGGCTCAGCGGCTTCGGTTTCCTCCCACCTCGTTCCTCTCTCAGTCGCTCTCTCGCTGCTCCACCAGCCCAGGAAGAAACTGCTTCAAGGAAGCCGGGGGGGGGGTGGCTTTTCCTGTCGCCGCAGCTCCTCCGAAGCGCCCGGTCACCCCCACCCCGCCCGCCCGCGCGCGGTTCAATTCAGTGCCCCGTTCTGCCTGCCTGCCTGCCTTCTTCGTTTCGGAGCAGCTTCGGCTGAGAATAATAACTATTCGCCTCTTTTTATCAGCCGAAGCTGCTCCGAAACGAAGAAGGCAGGCAGGCAGGCAGAACGGAGCACTATGGATTGAACCGCGCGCGGGCGGGTGGGGTGGGGGTAAACAGGCGCTTCGGAGGAGCTGCGGCGACAGGAAAAGCCACCACCACCACCCCGGCTTCTTTGAAGCAGTTTCTTCCTGGGCTGGTGGAGCAGCGAGAGAGCGACTGAGAGAGGAACGAGGCAGACACCTGAGGGAGGGAGGGAGACACCTGAGTGATGGGGCTGAGGGAGGCAGGGCCGAGGTGCTCCCTGAACTTGGTGGTTTGCTGGCAGACGTTTTATTACCCAACTAGGTAACAACATCAGATGTTACCTAATCAGGTAATGAAACGTCTGCAAGCAAACCACCAAACTCGGATTCTCTCCCCCCCCCCCCCCCCCCCCGGTCCTTGAAAAAGTGTTTGTGCTTGAAACTGGTCCCTGGTACAAAAAAGGTTGGGGACCACTGTTTTAAATGATCCAGCTATCTGTCACCATACTGGTGGATACATCCTTTGGAGGACAAAATTATAAAAGGGGCCCATAATTATAACTGAAAAGTGTGCCCCAAGGACCAAGCAGGTCATCTGTCCTGGTTTATCATGTAAAAATCTAAATATGTCATTCAGTCAATAAACCCAAGTTAAATGAGACACACCTGAGTTAAGCCAAGCTCAGGATGCTATGGAGCCTCACCTTGCACTATAAACGGGATAGTTTAGTCTAGTGGTTAAGCCCAAGATATTGGCGTAGAAGCCAGGAGACAGTCAGTTCTAGTCCCACATCACCTTAGGTATAAAAACTATCTGGGTGACTTTGAGCTAGTCGCTTCAGCCCACCTCACAGGGTTGTTGTTGTGGGGAAAACAGGAGAGAGAAGTATTACCGGTAGGTATATTCATCACCTTGAGAACTATTTAAAGACATTGAGAACAAAGAGAAGACTTCAATGAAAGCATTATTAGAGTGAAATTTACGCAGATGTGAGGATTTTCTACCATTGTGTTGTGGTATATTTAATTCACAATTCATCTTGATTGACTCTATAGCTAACATATTTGTGCTCTTATCTACAAATGATTTATTATTACAATAACAAATAATTCAAATTTAATGTTATTTTCATATTTAATATATCAGATATAAAATTACATTGTTTCTATAATTACATATTATATCATAGTTGGTTTAAAAATATAGACTATGAATAGTGTATTTTTCCACCAGCCAAATTGACAGATTAATTTCTTGTAGAAATTATTCAGTATAGTTCAATGCAGCACTATAACAAGGGCCTGATGAATAAAACATGCGTAAGAAACTTAAGCATTGGTTAGATTAACTGATTTTTCTTAATTCTTTGTTTTTGTTACTACCTGTATCTTTCTCTTTTCTTTTTCAGATTAATGGCTTAGCTTGCAAAGGCCAGTATGTCACATCTGAAAAGAGCAGTGGAGCAGCCACCCAATCACTGTTTAGTCCCAGTTACACATACTAGTGTTAACAACCAAAACAACCAACTTCAACAACACCAAGGACCCCTCATTTCAACCCTGAGCTACAAATATTCTCCTTTACTGACATGCTAGTTCATAAAGCATGGCAGTTCAGTCACCCTCTCCTACAGTTGACAAAAGGCTGAAAGAGAAAACATTCCACAATATACCTGTGTTTCCCTAAAAATACGATCTACCCCAAAAACAAGCTATAGACCGATTTTCACGCCTTTGCCTAATATAAGCCCTACCCCAAAACTAAGCCTGAGTTAAGCTCCACCCACCAGCTGATTATATGAGGTGGGGCAAGGCGCATGGGTAAAAGTGAAGCTAGAGTGGGGGTGAGGGATGCAGCTGCTCCACATGCTCCGCACACACTTACCTTAGTACTGCCGCAGCAGTATGTTGCACTGCTGCCTGAATTTTTCTAGGGCCGCTTGCAGCTGCTTGCAGCATTATGCTGCGTGGCTCGTTGCTCCGGTGCCTCTGGCTGGTCGCTCTGGTGCCTCTGGCTTGTCGCTCCGGTGCCTCCGGCTTATCGCTCCGGTGCCTCCGGCTTGTCACTCCGGTGCCTCCGGCTCGACGCTCCGGTGCATCCGGCTCGACACTCCGGTGCATCCGGCTCATCGCGTTGGTGGCAGCACCGGTGCAACGATCCACTTGCCGTATGGCCACAAGCAGCCACAAGCAGCCGCAGAAGAAGTGAAACAGTGGTGCAACAGGTGTCGGGGCATGGGCGGCCTAGGTGCTGTAGTTGTACGGTAAGCGGGTAAGACATCTCCTGAAAATAAGACCTGACACTTATTTTGGGGCCCAAAAGAAAATAAGACCCAGTCTTATTTTCGGGGAAACAGTATATTCTTAGTAGGAACAGCAAATGGATGGATTTCAATGATAGGCATCATGGCAACTCTGTAAATCCTTTGGCACCATGCAAATTAATTTAAATACATTCATAAGGAACCAGGCAGTTTTTAAGAATAATTAATTGGTCCACTGTCTTATGACTCCCTCCATGTCCTATTATTATCCAAGGGGAGAAATATGAATAAAATACCCATGTGCAGAGAACAACATGAAGAATATCAAGAGGAAGAAAGAAGAAGCAGAGAGTGACTTTTCCATTCAATAAACTCAGAGCCCATGTCTTACCACTGTGAAAAGATTAAATGGCTGTGAAACTTTAGCCAAGTCTGTAGCCATTATTCATTTCTGGTCCCATTGAAATTTTGTTTTTGTTTTGGGTGGTGGGGAGAGAAGAGAGAGATATTTTATATTTCAAATAGAATACATCTAGAACCTGAACTATTACAAGAACTGAACTATTTCTTTAAGTACTTAAAAGAAACACATTGCATAGAAAAATCACCCAGGAAAATCCTGCTTTAGATAAATGATCCATAGGCCCAAACTACCTATTGGTTAAACCAGATAGCATAAGTGCATAAATGGACCTGCCTGCTCAAAAACTCTACTGGCCCAAAATAACAAGATATCTTTGGTGGCAGGGATCAGACATTGTCTAATTTCAATATCCTTGTTTAAATTAATCACAGCCCTCTTCAGCTTCTTCTCATAGGGAGCTTCAATTTTTCTGTCATCCAATACAAGTTGATGTTTAATGTCAGCAGAAGCTAGTAGACAGTTCATTTCTGCTTTGATATACATGCATCCCTTTGTGGGAGTAGCATTTATGGTGTCCTTGCCGAAAGCCAATATGTAAACAATGCATAAATGTACACAGCGGGCATGAACATGCTACCAACATAAAACAGAAGTGTTTACATATATAATAACCCTAGGCCAGGGGTAGGGAAACTTGGCTCTTCTATCACTTATGGACTTCAACTCCCAGAATTCCTGAGTGAGCCATAAAAGCTCCCGATCCCTGGCCTACTTTTCAGCTGTGGGGGAAATCAATTTTTTACTTGAATGGGACTGTTTAATAAATAAATATAGGACATATAAATAATATAAAGAATATGTCCTACGTTTGTATATTAAACAGTCCCATTCCAGTCAAAAATTGATTTCCCCCACAACTGAAAAACCAGTAGGCCAGGGATGGGGAACCTTTTATGGCTCACTCAGGAATTCTGGGAATTGAAGTCCATAAGTGATAAAAGAGCCAAGTTTCCCTACCCCTGCCCTAGGGGCAGGGGTGGGATTCTACCAGTTCAGACTGGTTCTATACAACCAGTTATGATTCAGTGCAGTTTGGAGGACCAGCAAATTGTGCTCCTGGCTGGCCTGGCCCTCTCCACTCACCCGTCCCCCGCCCGCGTAGTCAGTCCTTATTGTGCATGTGCAACATTGCGTGCATTCAGACATTGATGTCTGTGTTCTTCCCTGCCCAGTCATTCCTTAAGGTATTTCTTTTTTTCCCCTCCCATCAGCTGTTCCTATGATCAGCTGTGCCAGATTCCCCTTCTTGCCTTACTGCTTTGCCCAGGAGGCTTCCCTGAGGCCCAGGAAGGCAAAAAATGGAGGGAAAGGGTGCAGTAGCATAGCGCCTCCTCCATTTTTTGCCTTCCTAGGCCCCAGGAAAGCTTCCTAGGAGCAAAAACGCCCCCCAGGAAGCTCCCCAGAGACCCAGAAAGCCCCAAAACAGTGCAGAAGGGTGCTGCGTGTCCCCCCCATGCTCCATTTTTTTCCTCCCTGAGTCCCAGGAAAGCCTTCTGGGAGCAAAAATGACCCCCCCAGGAGGCTCCCCTGAGGCCCAGAAGGTCCAGAAAACGAGAGAGAGGCGGTGCTGCAAAAAAAAAAAAAAAGCCATGCCCACCCAGTCACATGGCCACGCCCACAGAACTGGTTGTTACAAAATTTGAATCCCACCCCTGCCTAGGGGTGGATCTGCATGTATACTTGACTAGAAATAAAATAGTCTGATTTAAAGTCCTGGTCAGGAATGAATCTTGAGACCACTGGCTAGGCCAGTGGTCGCCAACCAGTGGGCCGGAGACCACTGGTGGTCTATGAGAAAATTTTGGTGGTCCACAGAGAAATGTTACCCCAAAGCACCCCCCAAAGCAATTAATCCAGGCTGTGCAGGAACACAAGGCTTGTGTCGCTTGCATTGCGAACAACATGAGGTAGTGAGGGGAGAGGAGAAAGGGCGGAGGGAGGGAACTTGCCCCACATGCCTGGCCTGGCCCCAGGCTGCTTCTTTCTGCTTCTTTCTTCTTCTATTGGCTGCACGCAAGGAAAGCAGCAAAAGTCTTTCTTTCTCTCCCCCAAACTCCACCAGAAATGAGCCTTTGAGACCCTGCAAGGCATCCGGCTCCAAGAGGTTGCACCAGCATGACAACTCTCACAAAGACTCATTTCTGGCGGAATTTGGGGGAGAGAAAGACTTCTGCTGCTTTCCTTGCATGAAACCAAAAGTCTCTCTCTCTCTATCTCCCTGAGAATGGAGCTGGAGATGGTATCCTGCGATCCCAAATAAAGAATGATTGATCAGTAGGAAAACAGGGTGGGGAATTTTCCTGCAAATTTTTTTTGGGATTTTCCCAGGATCTCTGGTCCGCAGGATTTAAAATTATGAGTTTGGTGGTCCCTGAAATCTAAAAGGTTGGCGACCCCTGGGCTAGGCCATTTTCGCAACTTGGAAGAAAGCGAGAGCTCATCCTACCAGCATTTTCACTTCTCACATGCCAATCTTTCCAAGGGTAGGACAAAAAAGATGCACTTTTGCAGGGTCGTCGTTGGCCACTGCCGAAACGAAATGGGGAAATACAGGTAGTCCTCAACTTACCACCACAATTGAGCCCAAGATTTTTGTTGTTAGCTGAGACATCTGTTGAGTGAGTTTTGCCCCCTTTTATGATCTTTCTTGCCACAGTTCAGTGAATCACTGCAGTTGATAAGTTACCAACCCGGTTGGTAAGTGAATCTGGCATATCCCATTGACTTTGGCTTGTCAGAAGGTCACAAAAAAAGGATCACATGGCCTTTTGGGACACTCTGCAATGGTCATAAATGTGAAATCAGTTGCCCAACAAGTGAATTTTGATCACATGATGGTGGGGAATGCTGCAAAGTCTGGTAACTCTGAAAAATGGTCATCAATCATTTTTCTCAGCACCATTGTAACTTTGAACGGTCACTAAACGAATCGTTGTAAGAGGACTATCTGTATAAATCTCAGCCAAAGAGAACAGAAATCACCTTCTAGCCCGGTTAGACTTCTCTTCACTTCTCTGTGGCGGAGAGGGGCAAAAAAGTCCCGGAGCAATTAAAACCTGCTCAGTTTTAAACAGATGTTGATTCTTTCCCAATAAAACCTGAGCCAAGCGGTTCTTTCCGCTCTCTAATTTGTTTTCGGCACCTTTTCCAGGGCCGGGGGAAAAAAAATCAGAGCATGCTTCGACTGCTACGGCATCAGGAACAAAACAACCAGCCGTAGGAAAAGCTCACGTTTTATTTTTCTGAGCAACAGCGACTTCGCATTGAGGCCGCACCGATCTCGCCAAGTTTACTAGTTCTAACCTTTTATGTCTCTATGGGAAGGCACAAACTACATTTCCCACAATGCCAAGGGCTTTCGCGCCCTCTCTTTCCCAGCGGCGGGGTGGGTTTTTCTTTGCGTCTGCAAGATGGCGGCTCCCAGCGCGCTGCTGAGAGCGTGGAGTCACCGGCTGAGTTGCGGTGTTCCTGGACGCAGGAGTTTCTGGGGAGGGAAGAAGTAAGTGTCTGATGGGCCTCTTTCCATGCAACAACCACGGAAAGAGGCTCGCCATATTGGGACGGGCGGGTACATAACACGGGGATAAGTTAAAAGTCTGTAGAGATTGTCAGTCATCCGGGTCAGGGTTATCCCAAAGGTGCTTTTTTAGGAGGCAACTGGACTTTCTTGGTTTTTTTCTTTTGAAGACGTTTTGCTTCTCATCCAAGAAGCTTCTTCAGCTCTGACAGGATAGTGGGGAACGGAAGGATTTATATTCCTTGAAGGCTTACAATAGTAATAAGAATAAACAAGTTTCAATATAAGAAATAGAAACTAATAAAGGGGGACAATAGGACAGGGACGGTAGGCACGATTGTGTGCTTATGCACAGCCCTTACTTCTTACTTCTTCACCTCTTAGGAATGAGGTGAGATCCATAGAGGTTAGTTTGAGGGTAAAGGAGTGGGGGTTTGAGCAGGTGACAACTGAATCAGGTAGTGAGTTCCAGACATTGACCACTCTGTTGCTGAAATCGTACTTCCTGCAATCAAGTTTGGAGTGGTTTACATTAAGTTTATATCGGTTGTGTGCTCTTGTGTTGTTGTGGTTAAAGCTGAAATAGTCATTAACTGGTAAGACGTAACGTATAATTTTATGTACTATGCTTAAGTCCAATCTTAGCCGGCGTAGTTCAAGGTTGTTTATTTCTGGGAGTTGAAGTCCACAAATCTTAAAGTTGCCAAGTTTGGAGACCTCTGTTTTAGAGGGTCATTGAAGCACTTGGAGGTTTATCTAGGTCCTCAGGGTTACCTGAGTAGTGCTCCTGGTTCCTGAGGACACAGATAAATCTCCAAGTGACCCTGAAGACACAGATAAACCTCCAAGTACTTCAACGACCCTCTCAAAGGATGTAGATGACCAGCTGTCTGCAAGGAATGTAAATCCTTCTGTTCCCTACTATCCTGGTCAGAGCTGAAGAAGCTTCTTGGATGAGAAGTGAAACATCTTCAAAATAAAAAAAGAAAGAAAGTCCAATTGCCTCCTGAAAAAGGACCTTTGGGACATAGGGATAAGTTGGAGTAAGAGGGTGGGGGGGGGGGGGGGGGGGGAGATGGTTAACAGAATTGAGTTGCAAAAATTCAAATGCCACTAAATGGCAGCAAAAAGAGACTCTGGGCTGCCCTTTTAGGATCGCCCAGATGTTTGCAGAAGAGAGTCCTTGGAAGGCAAAATCTCGAGTTTTCTTATTCTGCAGCTTTTACCTGGTGAGCCTCTGGTTGCACTTTTAAACTTTTCATATGTTTTCCTACCTCTGAAGTTGCAATGATTAATAGCACTCTTCCTAGGGTGTTATGTTTCATGACCCTGATGTACAGTTCCAGGTTTTCCTGCCAGTGTGGTTGGTTAGATTCTTTATTGCTGGCAACTTTAAGCTCTTTGGAAATAAAGAGGGAAAAGTCCCCATGACCCAGTGTACTAGGGGAGACCACACAGCACTAACAGTGCTGTGGACAAACTAGAAATA